CATTTACGGTTACACTATTAGACTATATTATTGCACTTGCGATTAATTAAATCCGTTATCTAAGAAAAACGTTTTTAATCTCACTTGGTTGGGATTTGCTTTCAAAACGTGATTCGAAATGGTTGCGGTATTAGTAAACAACATTTGTAAACATATCATTAACAGCTAGAAAAAATAATCTTGATCCGAACAGCTGTTCCTTATTTAATAGACGATTAGGTGATAAAAATTGAACGAAAATTTGACAAAAATCACACAAAACTGCATTTTTGAACGTCCGTAATTTTATTTACAAAGTATTGAGGCTATATTTAAATCACTAAAGACACTCTCGCCAATCCAGTGAATACATTAAAATAACTTGGATCTTGATAGGTACTCTGGTTTTCACGGAGAAGATTGCGTAAAATGCCATCTTGAGTGTTACAGACAAAGGGAAAGACAGACAGACAGACAGGCAGAAATAGAGATAAGACTCGTTTCTGCTTCTTTAATGTATAAAACGTAAAAATAACCTAAAAGTATATAATTCTGAGCAAAGTACAGACAAAACTCTAATTTTATTTATATAGATATAATAATAATAGTAATATTTGTTTTTGTGTAAAATAATGGGAGTTCACATTGGTATACAAGTGTTAGTATTATTAACTTCTCGCGATTTTTGTAGTACTGTATAGGCCAACCAGATTTTCGTATTAAGTAGTGGTATACAGTATTTTCATGACAGTTAGGTTTTAGACATACACACTGCTGTATAGTTTAAATATAGTAAATGCCTTAAATCAATACACAAGTGTGCTTCTGTACATTATTCAGTAGTTTACATTTCAAACTGCTTATTATTTTACCCAATGGTCTGAAGAGTACCGGTATGAAATTGTTTATAGCTGATCCATAGAGAATTATAGGTGAGATGTCTACGTGTACGATGGTATCCGTTGTTAATCATAGTACTGCATCTACAAAATATGTTGCTCTTTATCCTAGCCAACTCCCACATGAATCAAGAACTATAAAATCAAAATTTTAAATAAATAGCACATTTTTAATGATATAAAAAGTTTAATAAAATGCTATGCTCAAGCTTACAAACACAATGTAGCTTATTGTTGGTAAAGCTGATGAATATAATGAGCCAGTGTAAGGATAATCAACTTTCATTAGGAAGATATTCCCCCTTCTGGCGCCTGTCAGGAAATGTCACCCATAAAGAGCAGAAAAAATCGTCTAGACATTATTTCACTGCTTAGACTGAGTTACTGCTTATACTTCCCCCTCCTCATAATATACTCTGCTGTGAAAGGATGAGAAAATATTCTATGTTAGCAAACTACAACAGTTTAATTTATCTCCGTTAGAATAACATAGTTTTATATGCAGTGTTTGGGAATTTCCCCCTTAATTGTAATGCGACAATGCTTTAATATACAAAATTATTTGTTCATTTAAGCTGTACACGATGGCCATAATTATTGTTCATTTACATACACTGGCATTACACTTTTTTGAAACTTATAGCCCTAGTATAACACCCTGTTTTCATGACTTGATCTCACTGGTTCACAAGCATATTCAACTTTATCCAGCTCTACAAATTCTTTTCACATTTGTTTAAAATCGGACAATTAATCACTCGAGTTATCGTGTTCTTTATCGTTGTTACTAATATTATGGTACAACAACATCACAGTCAAAGTCATTGTCTTCTATTTAGTCGAAACATCATTCACAATCATTAACAATTATACCATCCTTCACAGTCAGATGACTTATTCAGAGCTCTCCAAACCCCTGACATCATTCCATACTTCCCATGATTACTCTGTTACATTTTAATCGTAATTATTTAGACATTTAATTTCTCCATTGCTGTATTTCACTCTTTAAAATCATTTCATTGTGACTTGATTATAAGTTTACTGAGTTGCTATTCAGAAAAGGCGCTGAGGGCTTTGGAAAAACTACATTGAATTTCAAATAAAATACCGTACTTTTAAAAATGGGGTTTCATCAAATATTTTCACTTCACCCCATGAGTTTAAATCTAAGAACAAATTACATTTTAAAAAGATCGTATTTGTTCTTGAAGGCTGCTTAATTAAAGAGTTGTCTAATTTATCATGCAATTAGTGTTTACAAGAAATAATGTGTAATCTAACTTCAAAAACACTACCCTGAACTATTCTACGTTTTCTCTTTACCAGGTATAACAACTATTTTACAATGCATGTTTATTAAACAGTAGAAATAAAAAGAATGTTTTTACCAGCACCAAAATTATATTTGATAACTTATGAACGCCCAAGCTAAGGGGCTATCAAAGAACAGACAGAGTTTTGTAAATGGGAAGAAAAGTAAATAAGCTAAAGGAGGGGTAAATGTGATTGGAATCGAGTATTTTATTAGTTCCAATTCAATGCTTCCTCAAAAACATTTGAGGTGGATTCGGGGAAAATCATTATTAGGATCTTGAGTTTAAAGATTGCACTTACTTGAACTGGCTTTAAATATTCAGAAATTGTTAGCCTTTTATTTAAATGTATTCTTCCTCTAAATTTGTATCTAAAAGCAGTTCTTGCAAAATGTCACATTAATGAAATTTACGACTTCACCTTGTCACTAAGGTAATTTTGTATTTTACATTTTATATTGCCAAACATAACTGTTCTACATGTTAAAATCCATATTGAATGAATACATATCTTATTGCAATAGTTAGGCTATAAGCTAGTGGTAGTATTTAAAAGATTACTTTTTCTATATATGGTAGTTTGAAAGCATACATACAAATTACCCATACAGCAGGAAAGGTGTCTGATATGTGGTGAACTGATCCTCTTGAAAATATTATAAATTTAAATGTAGATAAATAAAACTTACTACTAGGTGAACAAAGTAGGCTATTGGATGCTATTGGGTACTATCATTGACTGTTGTATTAATAGTCAAAGGTACTATACTGTTTACAAGAATTAATAAAGAAATATTTGGTAAATAACATAGTTAAAAAAGTACTGTACCAGAGGAAAACATAAGTTGAACAAAGTACTAGAGAAAAGGAAAACAGATGTTAAACAAAGTACTGTACTAGAAGAAAACATAAGTTTAAAAAGTACTAGAGGAAAGGAAAACAGATGTTAAACAAAGTACAGTACTAGAATAATACATAAGTTAAACAAAGTACTAGAGGAAAGGAAAACATATGTCAAACAAAGTAGCTTACTATAAAAAAATGTTACAGATCAAAAGAGAACAATTTAATGCTTTCAACAAAAAGTAACATAATTTAGTATGTTACATCAATAAAAGCACACAGAAGTTTATCAGCATCCCACAAACTATTAAGCTCTCGAATACTATCACACAAAACAAAACTCCGTATACAGGGTGTTGAAAATGTCTGGAACCAACATTATATCTGGTAAGTGGTTAAAGAAAAACAACTGATATTTTGTGTACGGATATACTATGGTTTTTTGTGTACGGATATACTATGGTTTTACCTATCTTTTGGTGCCTTATGAAAAATTTTACCACTTATAGGGAACGTCCTGTGGAGGATGCAGTAAAAAGTTTTAATGGAAGCCTATGGTAAATGATACATCATTTTAAAGGCCATTTTTTTCTGAGTAAGGAGCCGCAAGTTTCATCTCAAAAGGACCACCCTAGCAAAAATGGCGACTGTTTGAAATTTAAAAACCCACTTATAGGGAACGTTCTGTGGAGGATGCAGTAAAAAGTTTTAATGGAAGCCTATGGTAAATGATACATAATTTTAAAGGCCATTTTTTTCTGAGTAAGGAGCCACAAGTTTCATCTCAAAAGGACCACCCTAGCGAAAATGCCGACTGTTTGAAATTTAAAAATTCAATTCCCTGTGGTTTTTTAAATTTCAAACAGTCGCCATTTTTTGCTAGGATGGTCCTTTTGAGATGAAACTTGTGGCTCCTTACTCACAAAAACATGGCCTTTAAAATGATGTATCATTTACCATAGGCTTCTATTAAAACTTTTTACTGCATCCTCCACAGGACGTTCCCTATAAGTGGTAAAAATTTTCATAAGGCACCAAAAGATAGGTAAAACCATAGTATATCCGTACACAAAATATCAGTTGTTTTTTTTTAACCACTCACGAGATATAATGTTGGTTCCAGACATTTTCAACACCCTGTATATAAAACCATTATAAGACCAGTTCTGTTATACGGCTCAGAAAATTGGGTGTTAAGTAAAAAAAAACAGAAAAACGTTTGATAGTATTTGAGAACAAAATATTGAGAAAAATATATGGTCCAACCTTTGAAGATGGAGAGTGGAGGATAAAACACAATGCGGATGCGGAGTTGAGGCAATTATATATGGACCCAGACATAGTGGTCGAGGTGAGAGGTAGGAGAATGAGATGGGCTGGCCATTTACTAAGGAAAGAGGACGCCTCCTTAGTCAAGAACGTCCTTTTGAACAATCCGGAGTGCAGAAGACCACCAGGAAGGCCCAAGTTGAGAAGGCAAGACCAGGTTAGAAAAGACCTAAGAAGGCTGAGAAGAAGGGAAGAGGAGGCAATGGTAAGAAATCTGGAGGCAGTGTGTTGGCGAGGCAAAGTACCACCTTGGGTACCAAGAGCCACGGCAGTAAGTAAGTAAGTACATCAATAATACAGTCCTATTAATAAAAAAAATAAAAACCTGAAGCAAACCTGCTGACTAATAAGCACATTGCTATTTGCCTGCATTGCTTAATTCAAGAGCAAAGACAAATTGAACTTTGTACAACATCGAAATGTTGTCGCTATCAACAGTGCATGTGATGCTCGCATGCGCTTTCACTCGATGTTTAATTGTTGCGGTAGAACAAGACAGTGTGACAGGGCAATGTCAATGTGGTAAAAACGCATCACCCCCCCCCCCCCCCCTGCATTTCCCGCTCAGCCGCATCCCGCTTAACGGGATAGTGTGGCGCCGGCCTTAAATCTACAGGAAACAAATCATCCAAAGTGAGTTTTTAACATAAATTTATTTATTTACTAACTGTACACAATTCCTCATAAATATGGTACAACTGTACAACAATCAACAATCACCTAAGTACGAACAGTTCTTTAGCTAAGACTCTTACAACAGAGTCTGAATTGGACTAGGGTAGTGAAAATGCCACCTTACATTGCCTAACTTTGTTGCTATAATACATGGTCTCTTTACTTTAACAGAGGACTTAGAACTAAACATAGCAGATCCAATAACAGATGTGTAAAGGCAGTACAACTACTTTACAACATTACACAGCCATTTTTAGAAGTAAAATATAAACAAAAGATATTAAAATGAGAAGACCTCAGTGAGATTAAACAAAAATGTAGACAGCTTATTGAAGGTGAAGGTAGTTTAAGAAACTTAATAAAATTATACATCTTACAGGGAGTTTGCATACAGTTTTTACCCATCGGACAAATTAAGCATACTTTTACAGAACTGTATAATGGAAAAGTTGTAAACATTTTAGCAAAACGATGAAAAATATTTGTACCAAAATTAACGTTACAGATTTTATTTAAAAGTTGATTAAACTATTTTATGGCTTTTAGTAGGGAAAACCAAGAAATATCCTTCTTTTGGTTTCGGGTAGGTCCCTCTCGTAATGTATCTAACAAAACTTATGGGATAACAAAAATATGTATAAACACCAAAAAATTTTAAACAAATTATAAAACACATTTTAGAGAACATACTAAAAAACTTTATACAAAAGCCTCAAACAAGAGCTAATTTTCATGAAACCCCTTTAACAGTGTGTGTCAGAGATAAAATCATAAAAACCAAGGCAAAACATTTTTTCAACATACTTTCAAGTTAAAATTACAAGAATATTGCTAAACAAGTTAATAGATCTTGTACTTTTTTTTATTAGGTCAGTGCTAACGTAGCCTAGCCAGGGGAAGTGTAACACAAAATACATTTTGGGACAAAGGTTAGGTTTTGGAAGTCTTCAAAAAAAGAATTTACAGTAGAACTTTTGAGAAGTGATGCCAATGAAAAAACACACCCTTTTCTCTGGCTAAGAGGTATTACCTTTTTCCTAAAGGGCAACACCTTAATTTGAGCTTTGAAACAGCATTATGAGGGGGGAAATTGCCATTAGTAATTGGGAGGAATTGAATCTCCCTCTAGCCATTTGAAAAGCTGCACCTTAGTGTAAATCAAGGTTCACACAAGAGATTGGGATCTTGAACTTCGGCACTGAAACTTTAGCCAATGATGACCCAACCTAAACAGACAGAGAACACTTCCTCAATGATTGTACACAGTGAAATTCCAAAAACCTCTTTCCTTTGAAAATATATGAGTTTTCTTAAAGTAAAGAAAACATCAATTTGCTAGTAACAAAAATTATTTCACAATTAGGCCTACAAAAGTTTAGAATAACAATAAAATGTTTTTCTAAAATAGATATTCTTGATAAATTGTAGTTACAATATTATTATCAGGGTAAACAGAAAATTTATTTGTTTACATTGTGAACAGAACACTTTTGCTTGGAAAAAAATCAGAATTAACATTTTTCTATATCACTAATTATTGCTACAAAATGTAAAGCTTTTTCAGATTAGAGATTACAGATTCTGTATAATTATTGATCTAGATTAGAGATTCTTGTTTTTTATAAGATAGTTTTCGCACTATTAAAACTATTATAGTGATATCACACACTAATAAACACAGTGTATTAACTTTAGTAGCTTCCTAACATCTTGAATATATCAACAAAGTTAAGAATACAAACACAGTAAGATTTTGACCTTTGAGAGAACCTCAATAACAAGAGATCTGTCAAAGCCCAAAACATTATATCACACCTTTTAAGTATACACAAATTTATTAAACGTATTGGTATCATATTCACATCTAGCTTTTATTTCGGCAGAATATCTCTTAGTTTCGTCACACAAGTATGGATTACTATGCAATTCAAATATCACCAAACAAACAAAAACTATAAAAAAGACACTTAAACACAACATTATCATTGGTTCTGGTATTATTTATATTTACATACATAAAAGTTATGTCTGTCAACTATAACATCCACTATAAGAAACAAAGATTGAAGAAAAACAAACAAAAGAAGTCACAAAATCAATATAGCAACAGGAAAATAACAATACACAACGAACTCTAGCTGTAAAAGACATAAACAAAACACAGAATACTTCAATAACAAATAAAACAATATGAGCAAAAGAAACCCTGAACAATAACTTGTCTTAGTCACTTTAATCAATAAGAATAAGAAGTATTGTATTGATAATTGTTATTATACTTCTCATAATCAATATTAGTAGAATCATTGTTCCTATGACTATGTATAGCGTCTCTGGTTCCTGGTCAGAAACCGATGAGAACCTCTTTAGCGAAGGAGTGGGGGGCGTGACATCACTCTCTTCTCTTGAGAGAACACCATTACAGCAACGATACGCAGTGCAGCTATTGGTGTCCGTGGTGTAGTGGATAGAGAACTCGGCTAATGTTCCTGAGGTATCCAGAACAAGTCCCACCGGTGACACTAACTTTTTGTCAAAGATTTTGCTTAGAATGCAATTACTTTTTAACTGAAAATCTTTTGTTAGAATTTGAGGAATTTATAATTTTATTTTATGAACAGAACTATTTTTTCGATTAGTAAACCTTCATTCAATCTTATATCTTTTTTATATTATCAGCAAGTTTGGTTGGTTAGGTTAGGTTATGACAGTTTAATTTTATAATGAACGTGAGGGTCTCTCCCACAATCCCCCACTCCTTCGCAGAAAATGAAACTCCCCATCGGTTTCTGACCAGAACCATGAGACGCTAGTATAACAATGGATATACTTGTTGAGTCTGCCCTACATAAGTAAAAGTATTAAAACTTAGATTAGGCCTAATTAATTGTTTAACTGAATATTTAACACGTACTCAGTAAACCAAGCATAACAAATTATTACAATAATGAACAAATTCCACCATACAGATTTATAACCCTAGTCGCCTAGGTTTATTTTGTTTTTTAAAACGTTTTAAAATAGTCCATTACAAAAGTAATGTGACAAAGGATAATTAGAAACTAATCACATGGGGAACTTCTTTTAGCCATGACTGTTCTTTGGATTTTAATCAAGGAACTATTATATGAAAATTGTTGATACTAGTTTAAACTACACAAACTATTTTGTTTGGAAACATAAATGTAAAATTACGAGTGTGGGACTAGTAATCATAAAAATAGGTCCTGCAAAGCTCAGGCAGTGCAATTAAACTACTTACTTCATATTTAATACTGATAACTAATTAACACGTTCGCTGCGGGCCATCATATGGCAGGCGTAGCCCCAGTGCGGCGCAGCCCGCAGCGTCGAACAAACCCGATTGCCGGGTGATTGGCTCTCATATTTCGGTATGACAAATAGCAAATAACATGCGGTGATGTCCTGCTTTATAACAAGAGTCGACGTAGTTCACTAAGCACTCACAGATAGCAGCACTGCTTGGAACGTAGCAGGTCCCATTGTATTGCCAATTGGAAGGGAGAAAGACGGAACAACAAGTTGATTTTTAAGTTTGCCAGACAGGGATTTTATGGGGAAATTTTACTACCAACCTACAACACAACAAAAATCAAGTCACCCACTACACGCTAACGTGGTATAGGTCCGCCTTCAACCGACGCTATAGCAAAAACGAAGATATACGACAGGCATTGCCGAGCGTATCCGATCGGTTACGGCAGCACCTGAACAGCGCTCGGCCCACATCCGATCAGATACGCCCGCAGTGAACGTGTTAATTACAGAAAAAGTTCTGTTCATCTATTTATTACCTAGAAAACTGAGTAGTAAAAGTATCGTCTTTAAATATGTGTTTAAATGAAAACAAGAATGAAGATTATCCGCTCTACATAGTACACTCATTACAGAAGCCTACAAAAACTATTTATCGAAATTAAATGACAACAGACAAATAAAATGAAATAAACTTAACAAAGTATGGTAAGAACCGTAGGACCTATATTGCACGAAAAGTAACTATTAATGTAGAGTATTTGTGAATGAACATTCTATTACATGCACCAACAGTTAGGCCACCTTAATTTGAACTATTAGCAGTCATTTAAACAGCCTTGTGATCATGTTCAGAATCAACTCTGTGAGATGATTAGGTTTTTGTAATATTTTTTATGAAATCTACTAAGCATAGTAGCTAATTGGGCTTCAGACCTGTCCTTAGCGAGATATGTATTTTGTGTCTAAAGCGTCGTTCTCATGTTTTGTCCAATTATAGATGACCTCGAGGGGTCTTCAGATGTAGAGTCATCTGATGATTTGCAAGACAGAAAAACGGTTCTAACATTATACTTGACAAATGGCAGATCTAGGCCTTTCACAACACGACAAGCCACGACACATCTCGTGAAAACAAAGCTTTAACAGGCAAAATTTGCTCAAATAATCCACTGATACCAAATGACCCAGAAGTTCTGTTGTTTCCACCAAGGCAAACAAAAATCCCCTACATAATCCAAAACCCTGAACCCTAAAGCCAATAAGTTTTTTAGTCAGCCTTTCTTTTGCTAAAAATATATTTTAATCTTTGTAACTGCACTTAAATTTCACCTTGAGCAAAAATAGGCTTTCATTCCAACTGAACCAAAAAACCATCATCTCACATGTATATCCTAACTACTAACACATCTCAGATCGATTTGCTACAATTCCTTGTAGTCAGATCAAATAATTACCTAAAAGCTTGAGTTTTCTCAGCTTATAAAATTGTGTCTAGCAATTATCTTAGTCAACAATTCGCTATAGGCCGAATTTGTACTATTAATAGATGGACTGCAAAAGCTAGATGTGAATTCACATTGGACTAGGGGCTAACGGAGTTATTTCGTCACGACTTGTATATCGGCAAGGGATGTCCTTCGGTGTTCATCACCCATTTATCAATGTCCACCAGTTTCCTGTTGTCTGAGAATAGAAGATAGAAGTATTTGATCGTCTCGCTGATGAAGAAAGACTCCATCATGTCTCGTGGTCTGGTGTCTAGAGGGTTGTTGACATTGCCGATGGATGTGTAGCCGCCATCAGGGACTTTGGTGTACCTCTCGAATGCCTGTAGCAAGGTAACAATATAGTTGTTTACAACAATATTGTTGTTGGTATTTATGATGAATTCATTCAATGCCAACAGAACATTGTGCATAGTTTAGGGTCAAGTTGAGTGAACAATGAATGTTGAATGAATGAGCTGACGAAGATCAGCTAATCCCTTAGCCAGGACCATTTACAAAAGCCCAAGGACAGATAGGTACAGCTTTGAACCTTGATGTTTCAAAAAGCTAGTGACATTTCTCAGGATCAGACCTGGCTACACTCTTTATATTAGTTGAGCACCATAACCAGTGGGCTACCCAGCTAGTGCTGGTACATTACGACAGTTAATTATTTGAATTTAGAAGTATTTTTATTTTAATCAATGTTTTTTTCCTTTACTCACAATTAAAATTATTCACCTAAGATGCTGATGAAATCACCTTATATATACAACAACATACCTTGTATATGTTCCAGCCCCAGTCCTGGTAGGTAGAATTGCCTGTGACCACCCACATGTACCACAGGCTCTCTATAAACTCTGGCCGCAGCAAGTTGTGTGCATCGTTGGTTTTGACATACATATCTGGCTGACTTTCATCCTCCTTGTTTGGCTGAAACAAAGTTAACCAGGTGAATATCATAAAAGAAACTTTTTTGTGAGTAATATTTTATCAGGGTGGCCACTAAACTCTGGGGAAAAATTGACACATTGAAGCAAAATTTGGTTTTGCTTGTTCTGTGTATGTTTTGCCTCACCATCTATTCTGTGTGCCGTGTAGTATGTTTGTAAATATAATTTTATTCAACCCCCAGCCCCAGCCACAGGTTGTTATATATTACACAGACATTGGGCATTAAGATAATTTTTATTTAGCTCATCAACATACCAAAAGGGGAAATAAGCCTAATGGTTTGGTTGTTGTCTGACCATGGCGCAATAATGAAACACTAAACAGCCAAGGAATGAGGAATAAGAGCCAGCCGAGCAGACCAATGCAGACTTTGTGCAACAGGGGTCAAATCAACCTATCAATAGAATCATACACACAAACACAATCCAGCTCTAGAACCCAGAGATAGTTAGAATTTTAAGAAGGGTGACCATGAGGCCAAGGGGAATAAGAGGAATTAGTGTCTATCAGCTTTTAGGTTTTGCTGAGAACCTCAAAGCTAAAGTAATGAGATGAGGGTTAGGCCAAAAGGTCGAAGTAGCTACCTAATCAGAACAAAAAATGTATGGAGCAAAGCATGAAAACAGACATTGAAGAAAATTGTATGATATCACATGGTGAAAATTTGATAAATTGGAGGCAAGAGGAATGTGAGAGAATGGAGAGAGGAAGGACAGAGAAGGAAATTATCACATTTCCCAAGTAATGGTTCATCAAAAAATGTATTTTGGATAGCATAAATTTACCTTGAAGTTGAAGAACGTAATCTCTGGAGCTAGGAACGTAGGTCTCTGAGCATATGTCTGGTAACAAGTGTCCATTAGGTCCACAGCCATGGACAAGTGCTCTTCCGGCATCCCATAGTGAACCCCCAACGCCAACATGCCAGGCACAAAACACACCAGGTGGTCCTGTAGAACAGCATTATTGAGTGTTGTGATTTAAATAAAAATGTTTTAATAACTGTAGTAATAAAGAATGATCATTGTTCCCTTTTGTCAGATGACCACTAGTTTCAAACCTACTTGTATCTTATCCAGCTGAGTATATAGTTAATTAGAACAATCGTCTCTATCCCTGGTGTCGTGGAGTCCTCAAAAAAAACATGTATAGACTTAAATAACAGACGCCAAAAACACAGACATTAAAAGTGTGGTGTGGCCGGCAGACAGCAAACCATGGCTGACAATTCTTAACCTTTTTATTTATCAGGGTGTTCAAAAAAGGTGGGGACATAATTTACAAAGTTATTTCTTGAACCAAAATAAGGAGAAAATCAAAAATTAAAGTTTTTCCAAATCACTTAATTAACCAGATATTTTTTCCATAAACATTTTAATCTTTAGATTATTCCAACTGATCTTAACGAAACTTTGTTAACGAAGTTAAATTAAAAGGGAACCATGCTGGAAAAAAATTATGTTCAGGGTGATAAAAAATTATTAAAATCTGGTTTGAAAATTAAAGGAGTTTTCCAGTAGAATTAAAGGAAAATTCCTAAATTTTAAGAACTAACTACTATCAGAACCCAACTTTAAGCTTTATCACGCCGTTTTATATAAAAAAAAACTTTAAAAAGATACATGATTTGTTTAACTAATGTATTTAAAAAATGTAATTCAGAAATAGTAAGTTAGAAATTGTATTATTTATTTTTTCAATAACTGGTAGGCAATATAACTATGAAACAAAACTTTTCCAAGGCATAATATTTACAACATATTAAACATATACCATACAACATATTAAAACAGTGTTATTGGTAGGTTAAGCGACACCAGTTATCATCTCCCGCGATCGAGGAAATACCCGTTAGCATATTTTACGGTTTCGGACACATCGATAATTGTTTCCTTAACTTAAGACTAGCAAACCTAGTCTGGACTAGCAACTTAATGTACGCGTACCGTCCACCGCGCAGTTAATTTGTGGCCACACGTGTGTTTGTAAATAATGTATCTATGTGTTGTTTCTCGTGACGTATTTATAGACTTTATGACGACCTCTTCGGAGTGATATTTATGTTCCTTCATCGCCTGAAGATGGCCCCACAGCTGGGCTGAAACCGGTCGCCGCTCATCGGTGACATTTGATCACATTGACGGATTAAAGGTATTTTAACCTCTAGATTAATTTAAATTTGTGATCAGCAGGCAAAAAACAACAGAAATGAAGTAATTGATGTCCTTGTGAAAGACTTCCATTCAAACTTAACCTATAATTTTTTATTTGAAATGTTCTAGGCCTATTGCATGTATGCGGTTATCGTCTCAATAAATAATTTTATTTCACCATTCTCTATTTACTTCCTCTCCGAGCATTACTGTACTAGAACCCAACTGAAACCAACGTTAATAACATTTTTTTAATCAATAAGTAGATTAATCATACTGTTACCCTATTTGGTTTTTACAAAGATTTTATCATACAAATACTATTTTACCATTTTAGGAACAAATTCCCTGCCGCCAGAACTCTTAAGCTCTCCAATGAACAGCAAGTTTTTAGTAGGTGTGCGCTTCGCAAGGCGTTTCTTGATTCCTGCGACTGCCTTCAAATAATCCTCCTTCAGGCTGAAAATATAAAAGATTGTTCAATCAGTAGTTGTTGTACAAATGATATTTGCTTAACAATATGAATTAATGTGAATGTGGTGTGTCGGTGGCTCAGTCGGTAGCGACGCGGACTTAGAGGCCAAGGCAGCGATGTCGTGGGTTCGGATCCTGGTCACTGCCACAAACATTTTATCAGTACACCTTTGTACTGTACCGACTCACCCCTTACTTTGCTGTATCCGTTCCACACACAGATCTGTAGTCTATGTGGAGGGGCAAATGCAAGGTTAAAAGAGGCCGCCAACCTCTTTAAAAATAAATAAATAAAATAATGAAAGTATCAAGGGTGGGGAACATTTGGTTCCTTCTTAAGCCTCAAGTACAATAAAGGCAATATGCATATTGGAAATTATGAGAACCTTATATTGGAAACTCATTTAAACAATTCATTCAAATAAACAGTTTTTTTTTTCATGACAAAGGTTGTCTTAATTAATGTGAATTATCAATTCACAAGGTAAATCACTTAATGTTAACATCAGGAATGAGTATTTGTATTGTAGATGAGTTCTCTTACATATCTTAAAGTGAATATTTAGTCTTTTTAACAAAGTTAAATTCTAACAATAAAATCCAGACAATAGATGCTCACTAACCTAGCGTGTTTGGACTATGATGGTGCCAGATTTTGGAAAATGTCTGATTAGTGATTATTGAACATACTATGCTAAAACTGTTTGCAATATTAGCGGAAATATTGCTATTTAAAAAAGTAAAGATAAATCATTGCACGGCGTACCATTATTCTGTGTTTTATCGTGCTTTCTGTTTGTTAATAGCATAATAAAAGACTAAACAAAAAATGTTAAACACCATGAAATTCTATTGTTTCTAATGTCTGCCTTACGCTCTTATCATCTCCTGTTCACTCCAACCCCTACCGACGGCTCCCGACTTTGCTGATGGCTCACGCTATTACTGATTGCTCCTGACTCTGCCACTTGTTCTCAACTCTCCAGATCGCTCCCTACTTTGCCCAACACTCCCGACTCTGTCCGTCCCTTCCAACTCTCCCAATTGCTCCTGACCCTATTAGCAAAACACGATAATATGGCTTACGACATTTTATTTTGACTTTTAGTCGGTTTATTGAAACCCCATACCATTGGATATCATATTAGCACGCATTTACTATAGTTGATAATAGTGGCCAAGCAGACCTTGGACCACACAAGTGGCATAGGCAGCTGATGTTGAAACAACTGCATGCTGCTTATTTCTACCATGCCAGTTCTATAAGCCAACTGAGTGCAGAGGGTTAATTTAAAGTAGAACATTGAAATGTAACTCACAACTCATGTGTTTTCCCAGTCTGGATCCACTGTTTGAGCAGATATTCATAGTAACTGTCACCTCTAGCGCCTAGTTTAATTTCAGTGTTTTCATGGAAGTTTCCAGTGTTGGGGTTAATGAAGATAGGAACTAAACCATCAGTCTTCTCCAGTACATGGACATGTTCAGTCACTTGGAATGCTATGTCCTGCAATATAATTAGGTACACTCATCAATGAACCTTTAAATATAAAAGTTTCCTTGACCAAAGGTTAACTTTATTAATACCATACAGCCTTGTTTCCATAACTAGTTATAGAGAAAAAGATTATTCGATTCTCAAACCACTGATTCTTGGGCATTGTGATCAGATCATGCAGTAAGCCTATCAAGTATTGATCATCAAAATTCGCCAAAGTAGACTAATGTTGTTTGCATCCACATAAACAAATACGTCTTTGTTTGTCAAGTGATTTTTAAATGAATACAGATGTTATTACTATATCCTTCATGATTATCTTCTTAAAGGTTACTAATTTTGCACAGGTGACAGACATTACAATCAGTTTTACATTCATTTCTGATGGTTCACACTAAGGTCCTATAATATGTGCAAACTGTTTATAAAATGACTAATATATTTTCTAGAAATGTTTGTTTTAGGTTAAAAACGTTTTGAAAACTTCAAGATCTATTGCCATACTTATATCTTAGACCTTTTATGTTCACAATATGGTCCCATATGTCCGAACGGGAGGGAGTCTACTTTAGATTAAAAAATTAGTTACCTCAAAAGAGTAGTCATGACAAGACCTGCTGAGGTCTCGGAACTCAAGCTGCAGCGTAGTGACCTCAGAGGTGCTGCTATCTGGCGACCACTTAGGTGAATGAGCAAGACGAGAGGCGAGGTTCACGTCAGAAAAGGGAATAGCTGAGGGCGACTTGGTGAAACATGGCATCAGTCTCTCTGCCAGTCCCATCTAATAAGGAAACAGCAATTATGAGTGAGGACAACTCTAGTCAGATATTTTATTAAATTCTCCACAGCCTACACAAAGTTTCACAACTTCTTTAACAACATCCTTTAAACATAAGAGCTTATTGGTTAATCCGAGTGCCTGAAATTCTCTAAACAAGAAATTTAGGAGCTTATAAGAGATCAACAAAATTTGCCTGTAAACATTAAATAATATTTTCAAACTGTAATATTTAATTTCATTTCATTCATTATTTAGTATTAATTTTTTTTTATGTTACCTTCTATTCATACACCTAATAATCACTCCTCAGAAAGACTGTCCTAATATTCATTTTCCTAATTTATATAATTTCATTAATATGTTCAATTAATCATTAATAATATTCATTTCATAGCATATATTTTTTTTTTTACAACGCCCACAACCTAATTATTTATTAAATATGTAAGAGAATTGCAATACATCAAAATTTCTTATAATATCATTTCAAAATTAGTCCTTAAGGAATCAAAATTTAAGAAGCAGTGAAAGTGATCCCATGTGTTCAACAATCAGTGATGTGAACATTGAAATTGAGAGAGAAGGAAGCCATTGAGAAGTTGAAATTGTTAGAAGAAGGACTCAAAATTTTACCTAAGTTAAATCAAATTCATTTATCAAGAAGACCAGTTTCAAGTTATATCACATAGTAGCCTAAACCTCAAGAGGACTCAACTCAATCATTATCTTCAAAATTAAGTATAAACTTTTCTTTAAACTCTTTTAAATTTTGTGCTAATTGGACTTACCTTTTGGACAACACCAAAATTAGATTTTTCATTGTTGGGATTTATAAATTCAACACCTTAATTAGGCCTATTTGGACACTATTACATTTACTAATTATTAGCATTCAAGCCAGCACGACACCATACCCTGAGAGATGTCACATCTAAATTATTTGAACCTTTAAGTTATTATTCAAATTTATTTTTTATTTCAATTTAATTTCAACCCCATACACCATTGTCAATCCTTTCATTGTAACGTCAAGCCTTTTCTCATTGCATGTTAATTGTTCATTTGTTTAAATAAAACACATTTTGTAATCCATATCTTTGCTAACTTATTAACTTTAAACATTTGTAGAATAGGCCTAGCCTAAATGAATATTATAAGGTGAGTTTACAAATTGGCGCACCAACGTGTTGGCTTGAATAGCTCATTAACTTTATTGCAATTCTCACCATAACTAGCCTATAAGTTTGTTAGATTTAAGAATTTGCATTGTTAATTTGTCCCGTAATTGCCTCGGTTTCCCAAAATAATCAACACTACAACATCACATATTTAATAACCACGCATGACCTAACACATTTTACATTAAAATGTCGGAAAATAAGTATAATTTACGGCCTAAACGAAACTACCCGTCTCTGAATAGATTGTCGAGTTCAAGTGACGACGCCGACGATGACATAAATGACAGAACACACGGCAGCCATTTTGAGCAACGAGCAGAACAACAACAAGAACAAACCCGAGAAGAAGCCTCAAGTTGCAACGACCACCAACCGTTCACCGGATCCATTGACCAATCAGACAGCGTTGATCATTCGACTTTACCCGCCTTTGTTCCGCCACACGAACTGCCTCTAGCCGAAACGCCACCGACCAAAAACACAATTGTGCCGTCGTGCCGAATGCAACCGGACTTAAACGACGTTACCCGAACCTCGATGGACGATATTGCAGACAGCCGTCTAACAGCTGATATAATTCAAACACAGTCTCAGTCCGTTCATAATGTGAATTACGAGCTCCTTACACATTCCGACACTTCAACTGATGAATTAAACGTCACAAATCCTCCAGTACAGACACCCACAATCGATATGAACATGTTAGTTAACCTTATGACCAACTTGAGTAATAAGTTTGAACAAACCAGTGCTGAATTAAAGTCAGAAATAACTGCAGAATTAAAGTCAGAAATCCGTGAAACTAAATCAGAAATCCAAGAAATAACAAAACTGCAGATTAATCAAACTGAAGCTAAACTAATTCAAACCTTTAACAATAAAATAAACGAAACCTACCAAGAAATCCAAGCTTGTAGAAACGCATTTGAATCACAAATACGTGAAACTAGAGAAAGTCAAATTGAAATAAAGTCAGAAATAAATGCCATAAAATTAACACAAAGTATTTTAACTGAAGAAACAGCTAAACTAAATGATCGGCTAATGTTAAAAATTGAAGACTCTCAAAATCAGTTGAAGCAATTTGTTGTTCACAGCATATCAAAACAACAATCTGATTCCGAAATAGAGCATAACAAATTCCAAGAACATATCATCTCAACAGTAAAATCACAGTTAGAAGAACATAAATCTAATTTTGAGCAGAAAATAGAAGAAATCACAGTTAAAACACAACTTGACAATGAACGTAACTCAAAAATAAATTTAACTGCCCTACAAAATGAAGTATTGCCTAAAATCACCCTACAAACTAGATTAATTGAAACACAACAGCTCGAAATTCAAACTCTTAACCAAAATTTAATCAAATGTGAGTCTGAAGTAAACAACTTAAAGCAAGCTAACCCAATAAATGGACAAGCAGGTGCGATTCAAGTAATCTGTAGCGGTAATGAGAACAATGCTCGTCAATTGCCGAAATTTAATGGACGAAGCGGTAACCCAATGGAATATCTGCGCAAACTTAAGCGATATTACGAGAGAGGGATCGAAAGGAATATGAACTGCGATCAAACTGAATACCTTAAAGACCTATTGGAAACGTCATTTGAAGGACCCGCATCCCGATGGTTGCAACTAATCAGATCAGACATTCTTGATTGGGACCATTTTGTTAAGGAATTTGAGTGCAAATATTGGAGTCAAGCCGTCCAAAGAGGAATAAAAGCCAAGATTGAGTCTGAAAAATATCGAGCTAATGGAACCTTGAGCCGTACGGAATATTTAACAGAACGATTACTTTTATTGCAATCCATCTCCCCTAGTTTAAGTGAAGAGGAGATCGTATCATTATTGGCAGAGCGATTCGATCCAATCATCCAGGATAGTGTTAATGTGCAAAATATCACCACAATAAGAGCCATGGAACGACTTCTACAGAAGGATGACATTCGAGACGGACCGAAGAAAGTTAAGAGCTACAACAACAGTCACCAGAACAGCAGACCGTCTAGCCCTAACATACAGAACCAGCAACGTTACCATGATCGATCTACTAACCAACAAGCTTACGTGCCTAAGATGAACCGCCAGAACTTCCAACACAGCGATAACTATGCACAGAACAACCAACATCATAGGAATCAACAAAATTATCGATACAACGGAAACAATGGTAATGAATACCAACAGTACCAACGGGCACACCGAGACAACAAACCATACCAGCGTGACCACTACCCGGACCGGAACTATGGCCAAAACTACAATTATAATCGGAATCATCCTATTAAGGAACAAAACCAAATATGTGCGATGTTTAGACAAAATCCCAACTTGTCTATTGCCCCGACTGCTCCACCCATGGATCCACAACTAAACAGCCACCATTCAAGTTCTCATTTTCCACAATCTCCACAGAGGTCGGAAAACCACTCGTCGTTGTAGATTACGGCCGAGAAAGAGTTATGTTGCCATCTGATCCTTCATTAAGAACAGTGTCGAAATACTTATGTGATAAAAACAACTTTCTCTTAGAAGATGAATAATAAGATATTTAATAGTTTCAAACTTAATAAAGCCAGTCATCCTTGGATTATATGTACTATCTGCCCTTAAAATGGATTTGAATGTTAATACGAATGAAATCAATATGCAAATCAACAATAATAATGTTACAGTGAAGTTTAATTTGTGTCATCATGAAGGACAAATATGTCAAATAGTAGTTAATAATAGCCATAGGCCAAATAATAATATAGATGATAATTTTGATAATATGATGTACGATGTGTACCACAATAACGTAATATATAATGAGTATGATAGCACAACACACAACTTCAGTGATCAACAAAGTAATCCACTAAAGGACAGCACATTGACATTTGAGGAGATTAATACATATCACCAAACACATCAATAAGTAAACTATTAAATAAAATGCAAAAACATTTTCTCTGAAGAATGAAGATATCTTATTTGGACCAAATCACGTATCTGCTTCAAAATGATCATAGAAGAGGAGATAGTTAACGGTGAAGAAGATCTCAGCGACATAAACTCTCAAAACATTGTGTAAATAAAATCCTATTCAATTCATATTAATCAAGTGTCAAAAATTATATTAGAGGAGATCGTCATGAACCTTAATCGCGAGTGCGTGTACCCTTTTCCCCATTTCCCAAGTGAAAACTGTGAAAACATATCCTTAACATTGCTTCTATTGCTATTCCCCTGTGTCAGGTCATGAACTATCTTAACCCTCACTAATTTCCCCATTTATGTTTGTTCCTGTGTTTATGTAAATTTAGATTAAGAAGTTTCTAATCATCATCATCCAAAAATATCAATCATTTAATGTGACCCATAACTAGCTTTAAATATAATTCATACTAAATGATTCATGAATTCCATTTCATATTCGTTCGAAATTTGTCCTTCATTCCATATCATACAAATTTCTGAGGAGATAAATTGTAATATTTCATTTCATTTCATTCATTATTTAGTATTAATTTTTTTTTTTTGTTAACTTCTATTCATACACCTAATAATCACTCCTCAGAAAGACTGTCCTAATATTCATTTTCCTAATTTATATAATTTCATTAATATGTTCAATTAATCATTAATAATATTCATTTCATAGCATATATTTTTTTTTTACAACGCCCACAACCTAATTATTTATTAAATATGTAAGAGAATTGCAATACATCAAAATTTCTTATAATATCATTTCAAAATTAGTCCTTAAGGAATCAAAATTTAAGAAGCAGTGAAAGTGATCCCATGTGTTCAACAATCAGTGATGTGAACATTGAAATTGAGAGAGAAGGAAGCCATTGAGAAGTTGAAATTGTTAGAAGAAGGACTCAAAATTTTACCTAAGTTAAATCAAATTCATTTATCAAGAAGACCAGTTTCAAGTTATATCACATAGTAGCCTAAACCTCAAGAGGACTCAACTCAATCATTATCTTCAAAATTAAGTATAAACTTTTCTTTAAACTCTTTTAAATTTTGTGCTAATTGGACTTACCTTTTGGACAACACCAAAATTAGATTTTTCATTGTTGGGATTTATAAATTCAACACCTTAATTAGGCCTATTTGGACACTATTACATTTACTAATTATTAGCATTCAAGCCAGCACGACACCCTACCCTGAGATAGATCACATCTAAATTATTTGAACCTTCAAGTTATTATTCAAATTTATTTTTTATTTCAATTTAATTTCAACCCCATACACCATTGTCAATCCTTTCATTGTAACGTCAAGCCTTTTCTCATTGCATGTTAATTGTTCATTTGTTTAAATAAAACACATTTTGTAATCCATATCTTTGTTAACTTATTAACTTTAAACATTTGTAGAATAGGCCTAGCCTAAATGAATATTATAAGGTGAGTTTACAAAACGGCCAAATTAAGGTGAGTCAGGGGTTCAGTCGGTGGCGTCACCGCAGACTTTGGGCCCAAGGCAGCAATGTTGTGGGTCCGGATCCTGGCCACTGCCGCTACTTTTTATCAGTACAATTCACTCTTTTACTGGCTCACCCCTTGCTTTGCTTAATACGTTCCGCACAAAGGTCCATAGCCTATGTGGACAGGCAATTGCAAGGTTAAAAGAGGTACCCAACCTCTTAAAAAAATTTAACATTCTTGAGCTATGAGAAGGAAAACTTCACTTGCAGCTTCAACCTTGGGAGGTGTTAATTAGATATCAGCTATATGGGTATAACTAACATCTTAAACAAAAGTCGACCTTCTCTAGGCTAAGTTCACGACTTACCGCCCTCTCCAGGAACACTTCATCCCCTGAGAGATGGTAGGCACTGAGCAGACCACCCAGCACTCTAATGGTCACCTCAAAAAGATTCACGTCATGGAACTCGTTGAAGGAGACAGACAATCGACTGGAAACCCAGTCTCTGCCTTCTTTGAACTCTGCAAAATACCAAATATTGTTAGTAAAATTACTGTGTAATTGAGTAATATATCTTATGAATTGCACTGAGTTTTGTGAAACATTTATCTTTAGTCACTAAAATTTTTATCATGAAGAGATAGTTTTCACTAATAAATTTTTTGCTCGGTTTTAATTATTAGCTTAAAAGTGGTCTTTCAGTAATTCACATCAGTGTTAGTGGCTCAAATAAACTCTGTTTTATAACTAGCAGCTACTTAAACATAGGAACTGAATGTTTGGTTTCATAGTTCTATAGTCCATGGATTGTCTAATTCTATCCACAGTTGGCTTCAACTCACCATCATGTAGTCCCATTATCCACAGAGTGTCCAAGCCGTCCACTATGGTGAGGGCCAGTCCGAACCAATCGTGGTACGTCTGACTGATAGGCTTGAGATGGTCATGTCCCCACGCATAACGCTTGTATCCTTTCCATGCGTGTTTTAACATGTCTACGATTGCATGTTGCCTCTCTGTTGTTGCTGGCGGGAACATGACAGGTTTCAGTTTAAATTCATGGATATTGTTCGCATCTGCCACCATTGTAGCTCTCGCTAATTCTCTTCTCGCATCATCCTGTTTTTTCTTCTCTTCGGCTCGAATTTTTTCTTGTTTCTTTCTCTCTTCCTCCCTAATTATTTCTAACTCCTTTTCCAATTCTTCTTGTCTCTTTCTCTCTTCTTCCTGTTTACGTCTTTCCAACTCCCTCCTGCGTTCCTCTTCTCTTCTTCTCATTTCTTCCCTTAACCGTTCTTCTTGCTGTATGCGCCTTTCTTCTTCTAATCTTTCTCTTTCTTCCTCTTCCCTCTGGAAAATATTTAAAATAGTAAGAAAGTTATAGTGATA